GAAAGACTGGAAAGCACGGCGCGGAGAGCGAAGAAAAGAAGAGGAAAAGAAGAAGAGAGGACTAACGAGTGACGGAGCGAGCGGAAGATAGCGCGGGAGGGTGGGTGAAGGGGGAAAAAAGGGAAGAAAAACGGCCGCAGGCCCCGTGGTAGGTACCCTTGCACGCACTCGACGCATCAATCTTCTTTGCCAACAATGTTCGCGTAAATTACCCTCATCGATATCAAAGTGACGAGGGTGGCAGGCGGCGTCGGTGTTGCCGGCTACGGTGCCGGCGGAAGAGGCCAGCCCTTATCTCGCGCCAGTCAGAAAATCGAGTTTACAAAGATTCCATCGAGGAGCAGGAGGAGGCTCTCACGGACCTCGACGAACGTCACTCGCACGGTACCCCGGACTTCCTGTGCCCGTTCGCCAATTCTGTCCAGCAATTCTGCCGTTCCTCCGCTTCTGCGCTTTCGCGTTCTCCGCGAGGCGTAGAGGAAGCTCGCTTATAAAATGGAGTATCGGTGAAAAGGGTCAGGCGTGGTTGGAGATCGGGAAACAATGAGAAGAGATATCGCGGCGATACACGTTTCTTCGTGGCTAGGTTAAAGGTTCGTGCTTTACGATTCCCGCTCCGCTTCGGGTCGTCATACCTTCACGAGCTAGACGTTAACGGCCTGCTCGAGTCCGGCCTCGAGTATACCTGCGTCGATTATTGCCCGTTTAGAAATTCCACGGCGGCACACCGACCGGTGAAACCGATCCCTGACGGCCTGACGCCGTCCATGCCAGAGAATCGCAATTAGTCTGCCCGATCCTTTTCGGTGTTAACCTCTGACTCCAGCCGTGTTTCTTCTTCCCCTCGAAACTCGTGCCGCGTTTTACCAGAATTCGCTCGCGTGCCTGTGTTCACTTTCGATCCCAATTACTCCACGGTTAAGCCTCGTCGTACCCGCCACTTTATCTCGAGGTTTACGATATTCGTATCGAAGGGTCGTTGCCGGGAGAAATTACGCTGGATAAAGGAGCGGGCAACGAGATTAGGAAAAATCGCGGGAAACACGCGAAGGAATCGGCGGAAAAGGCGCGCGGTGATGGGCGTAGAGCGGTGGTGGATGGTTCGGGCAACGGAATCGGCCCATAAATTACCGGTGATACCTCGCATCGGTGGCAGCTAGGCCAGCTCGAGCGTGCTTCCGATACGTACGGCCGCTTCGGACCAGAGAGGCACGGTCTTAAATTTTCCTCGGACGCCTTCGAACTCGGCTCGATGCAAGGGAGAATACGCGACGCGGAGGGAAGAGATTAGAGCGTTGAAAAGTTTCGCGGGGCCGTGGCGTCGACGATACTCGGTTTAATGTACCGTTATGATCTTTATGGGGGGCGTTTATAGGCCATTACGATTGAGCTTTCACGCCGAAAACGGGGCTAGGTTCGCGGCTGGTTCTCGCGAATATTTCCATCCCTCTCCCCCGCCGTTGATAACTCAGTCTCACCGGAGAGTTATGCGGTCGTAATTATCGACTCGATCGTGCACTCGAAATGGATCGTTTCACGCATAATCGATGCGCCGTTCGGCCAACGATATTAAACCGGGGAATAAAAAAGAAGGAGTGGTGCTCGTTAATCGCAGTTGCCCTCTTTCTACCGCGCTAGCACGTTTCCGCGTTTAATTGCGCCTGCGTATAATTTCCACTTTCGCCGACTCTCCTCGGCGACTCTGCGCCCGGCGTAATGAAAATCTCTGGCTAACAGGATCATCAGCGACGAATTAAGCGAATTTGCACTAGTCGCAAAGGCGGTCGCTGGCCTGCCAGGATCTTTAATTAACGAAGCTTATTTTAATCATCCCCGATCAGCCGTGAACCCTGTCTCTCTCCCTCTCTCTCCCCGATTAGAGTGCCCGCTTAATAATCTCGTTGGTTGGAAAAACTCGCGACCACCCCTCTCCGGGTGCCCCACTCGTCGGTCACCCCGCGATAAATTTTCCTGCGACGCGCGTATCGCTCGTGTAACGAAATTACTCGGCGCGGAGGAACCGACGCGCAGTTTTTCAGCGAAATTATCGGCTGCGACGTAGGCGAGATATTATCTGGAATTTTCGCGAAGGCGACGCGCCGTTTCGTGGGTGTGCATCGTCGTCGGATAGCGCGATGGCGAAGATAAGGGAAATTGCCGGTGGAAAAAAGCATTAATCGGGCAGTGGGCGTAATTAAGCTCGTGCGGCGAAACGCCGAGTAATATAGATGGCCGTGGATAAATCGACGGCATCTGGCAGTTTCGCGTAAGCTCTCTAGGTTGCCGGACGATTATCTCGGAACTGGTAGACGTCGAGCCGTGCCTTCGACAAGAAGCGTGTTAATTTTCCCCGGTTGGCCCCTGTTTCGAGATCGACATGATCGACGACGTTACTCCCATGGGTCCTCGTATTTATGGGGCTCGAGATTAGCTCGCGAGACCCCGGCGTAACCTCTGCACGAGCGACGAGGAAGAGACTTTTACGACATTGCGACGTAATCGAACGGCGTTATCGTCGGGACTGCCGCATGAGTAACTTTATTGCCTCGCGCTTACCCTTTCTTCCTTTTTCTTTTTTTCTTTTTTTCCTTTTTGCACCTTGCTCGTTTTGCATTCGCGTCACGGCTGGGATATTGCCGGAATATCTCGGGCTATTTCCTGCGCGAGCGGATCGCACGGATTCTCGTTTATGGGACCGCGATGGTTTCCGAGGTCCGACCGAGAGAAACGAAAATGGCGCGTGTCGAAGGCGGCGAGCCAAATGCCACGCGTAATTCGTGCATTAGCGGAAAACGCGACGAGCTCGTGGCGCCGCATAAACCGGCACAATCATCGCGGACGTTTCGCTCGAGACTGCTAAATATTTTCCCGATGGCGCCGAGCGTGCACACGTCGCATCTTCCCCGCTTCGTTTCATTATTTCGCCGTTCAATTAGTAAAACAAAAACCGGCGCACTCCCGATCGCTTTTACAATTCATAAACCAGATAAGGGGGCGAAGGGGGCGGAGGGTGGCGGAGCGGTGTGGGGAGATGCATTATCGCGCAGCCAGGCAGCGCATTATTTTCGCGATACGATCGCCGTGGCGCGGCTTCGATTCCCTTAACGAGTAACGCTCGATCGAGCAATGATTTCGCCGGATTTCGAAATCGTCCGAGCATCGGTGGATCAAACCGTCTGGCCCGGTACCCTTCTGCCGCGTAGACGACCAACAGCGACACGGGGGTAGATAAAATCTGTATTACGTTTAGGGACGTTGCGCTGCGCGTCTGCGCTCCCTCGCAAACCTATTAACGTGCGTACACACGCGTTGCATCGCAACGCACGCGAGTGCGACAGAGAGGAAGAGGAGAGAGAGAGAGAGCGAGAACGTTCCTGGATCCTCGTGATTTACGCGTGCCGATGCTGCTTCGAATTCCAAAGCTTCCTATTAACCGGGTGCAGCGCGCGGGATCGCTCGCCGCGCGCTCTACGTTCGTACGAAATTTGAAAAACGATTTTATCGGCGAGACCCGATTGCAGCGGGCTGGTTGGAGCGGCAGCCACGATATTTCAGCCGCCAGGGGACAGCCGCGTAATTGCGGCATACATCTCCGCCCCTAATTTCGCTATAAGCTTCGCATTAAGGCGGAAAAAAATCGAGCGACCCACGGCTGGACCGGCGACAAACAATTCGCCTCCAACCCCCGCCCCCATTTTTCCCCCCCGCTTCCATCGGGCTTGGCCGTTTTTCTGCCGGTCGCGCCACTCGGTTCCGCAGCGCTGAGGACACTTTAATCGACAAAATTTCGCAGACACACCGCCGCCACCGGCACCGCGGCCCGGACATAAATTTCCAATTTTCGCCACGCAGAAATGGCGAAGAAGTTTAATTGCCGCCGTCCGAAACTTTTAAAGCGTTTCCGCTTGTCGGCTCGGAGCAGAGTCTTGTTCGTCCCTTCGGCAGCACCGTGCTAAAAAGGAGCCGTCCAAGCGGTTTTTCCCGTGAAAGCTTCCACGCTCTGCCTCTCCTTACGCCATCCGTCGTTCGAATCAATTTTCGTCCGTGTTACACCGAACGCTCGAGAAACTTTCGCAAAGCCCGCTATGTTGCTATTCCCGATCGAGCATCGACTTCCCGTCGCCGATGGTTCTCGTCGATCGGCGTAAATAATCGCGTTCGTTTCGCGCGATACCTCGTATTTCCTTCGCGAACAGATTTTTTTTCGCCTACGTGCTCAAGCACGGGGAGAAAACGGAGGAAATTGCCGGATTCGAGGGAATAGAGGCGGTAACGAGATCGAAAGACGGTTCACGGAACACCGGCGTCCGCCGGTCGATCTGGCTGCGCAGAACGGGATCGAGCGGTACACTGTTAATCTCGCGCGAACATAACGCGACTATAAATTATCCGAACGAGCAGGCGAGCACTACGTGGAAAGTGTGCTCCCAGGCAGCAGGTCTTCGTAGGCAGCCTCGGAGGATGGTTTATGGACTTGATCTTGCGTACTGTTACCTTGATTCTCGGTCATTATCATCGTCGACCTGCACGCGATCAGGAGTTACCGGCGATGCATCGCCGTGGCCAGGAAGTTTGCGCTCTGAAAACACATAGGCGGAGATGGTAATTTCGCCTTCGTCCGGCACGCTTCTGCTGTATTTATTTTGTCAATAATAACGAACGCAAGGGCGGAGCTGTATATTTTCTCACAGATTCCAGCTCGGCCATTGTATCTTCCCGGAAGCGAAGCGCAGCCGCTTGCAGCTCTGGACGAGCGATTTTCTCTGGATCCTCGGATCGTTTAACATGCCTATCGTCGTGCGAAATTTCAACCTCCTCTTCGCTATACTCCGCCGTTTTGAACGGAAATTTCAAACGCCTTTCCGGTGGCGCATGATTTCGACCCAAGACGCGTTCCGTCGTAAAACAACGCCAGTCGACGCGACGTCTCGAATTCGCCAGAAGCGTAACGCGGTTTTCCCACGATCCTTATCTATCCGGTGACAAACGAAAACGCGAAAATGGCTAAAAGAATGGAGGAAATCGGTTCCCGAGGATCAACGGAGAGACGTTCACGCAAGGTACCGTTGCACTTCCGGTAAGGAAGACACGGCAGTGGTGGGAGGAAACACGTGGTCGCGCGAACTCACCCCACGAGGGACGAGCGGCGTGGCCAGAAGGTGCGTCGCGAAGAAAGAAGAAGGTTAGGTGGTTGAATAAGGGCGGGAGCGGCGAAAGGCTGCGCGCGCAACCGCGAGCCACGCTGCCGCCGGTGGCTCGAGAGACGGCCGCGTGGTCGGCCCGCTTCAGTAACTCCGATACCTCCGAGCGAGCGAGTCACGTCCGATTTCGGAGCCGACCGACCGCCGAGACGCGCCAAAATTTATCTTTCCGCCAACACTGCGAACTCTGCTCGACGCTACCGAGGTACGAGCAGCGTCGCGATTCCAACGATGCGAGGACACGTTTGCTCCTTCCGTTTCTCTCCACGGTGAACGTTCGTCGCCGTTGTTTATAAACACGATAGACGAGTGACCCGACAGGCTTCGTAGTCCTCGTGTATTCCTCGCGACGTAGAGCGAGCGAACGACAGTTTGTATTCTCGGAATTTCGGGGACTAGTCGCGCGAATTTCGAGCAACTCCCTCTTGGAACGTTCCAACGCTCGAACGCATCGAATATCCGTCGTCCGAGTGATCCAGTGCTCCGTGTGATGTACGTCTGACACTATCCAACGATTTCGTTCAGTTGCGAAGTTCACCGCGAAGCGTTCGCTATGAAGGCGGCTTACCTCGTCGCGATTCTCTGGACGCTGGCGATTCCGACGTTCGGCGAGCCCGCGAACGAGCCCTCGAAAGTCAGAGTGACAGTCCTGAAATGCTGTCAACGCCAGGAGGTGCTGGTGAAAGAATCTGACAGCGAAGCAGACGCGAGGACTCGTTGCAATGGGACGAAGAACAATTGGAAACCCGTCATCTACTCGCCGTCGAAGCGTGGGATGTTGGATCATCCGCCATCGGAATGGGACATCGTGGAGGGA